CAGTTGAATAGATAAGGCAGGCAAGAGCAGGAAATGAGGCAAGACTGATAAATTAAACTGCATTTATGTCAATGCAAGGGGCCTGACAGGTAAGACAAATGAACTCAGGGCGTGGTTGAGAACATGGGACTGGGATATCATAGCTATTACAGAAACATGGCTGAGAGAGAGAGATAGACAGGGCTGGCAGCAGCTCAATGTTCCAAGGTGCAGGTGCTATAGAAAGGATAGAAGGGGAGGCAAGAGAGGACGGGAGTGACGTGTTTGATTAACAAAAATGTCATGTCAGTACTCACTGAAGTTAGACTCACCAGAAGTGGGGACCGCTGATGTTTGCACAATCTTCAGCACCACTCACAACTCCTCAGATACTGAAGCAGCCCATGTTCAATTGCTGCAAGACTTGGGCTTATCTATGCTTGAGCTTATAAGAGGCAAATAACATTTGTACCACACAAACGCCAGGTAATGACCATCTCCAGTAAGAGGCAACCTAACCATTGTCCCTCAACATTCAGTGGCATTGTCGTTACTGAATCCCCTACCCTCAAAATCCTGGAGGTTAACATTGATCAGAAACTGAACTGGACTAAACATATACAGAAGAAGGTCGGAGGCTAGGCTAGGAGGGTGATAGTGCAGAATGAGAGAGGCTATTGAGGCAGTTGGATTGGTTTTTGAGAAGAACCTTCAAGGCCAGATTAGCAGAAGTGAAGAATTGTGATCCCTTGTGACGTTTAATGAGATCTTACAACCCCCGTATCATTAATGTCTATGAGGAATTGTGAAGATATCGATGCGTACTGTATTGATCATTTTACTATATATTGTGCACTAAGAGGTGCTTAGTCACAGTCTATTTACATGTTAATTCTGAATGTTAGAAATAAGTTGTAAATACCTTGTTGGTTACATTACTGTTCTAATATTCAAAACAATGGAAGTTTTAGCCTTTATTTTCTCACTGGGTCTCCTGTCTCCTTTTAAAACCAGAGATTACTGGCCTAGCCAGAACGTAAGTCAGGATCATAACAAATGCAACGAAACAGGATTTTCATATTGTAATGCTACACCCAGGATCCGCACTTCTGAATATGCGCTTACTGTGACCAGCAGATGTCATGTTTGGAAGGCAAACTCAGCCAACCCTGTGAAGCTATGATCCATCCAAGTTTTCAGAAATTCAGAAATTCTCGAAAGAATGAGGGAGAATGAAGATGGTACAGACTGATGTGCAGGGCCAGAAATGCATTAACTATTTCTAGGGCTGATTCTACCCAAAATGTACAAGTGAGTTTGGATCCTATGCGCCACCGTGTTCCGATGCCAACATTTCTATCTCAAACCTGCTGCAATGTTCCAGCAAGCCTCAGTACAAGCTCGAAGAACAACATCTCATTTTCCACCTGGGGAACCGGCAGTTTTTGGCATTCAACATCGAGTTCAGTAACTTTCGAGCCTGATTCCATCTTTCCATGTTTTTTATCCACCCCCC